TTGTGTGCTGTCCGTTTATTGTTCGAACGTATCACCATAGTATAAGAATCCCAGCCCATATACAAAACCTGATACCCTTTGTACAGCTCTGTGCTTAAAAACAACAAGCGATTTAGAAAACACTTGTTAACGTATAATAATATACTAAAACTAATAGGATAGCCGACTTGAACCCTGCTCTGAGAACAGGATGTCTAATGTATCGGATTATATATATATTACAGTGTTTACTAGGAAATTTAACTGTAGTAATCACACTGCGATTAGAATCTCTGAAAACATTTATGTCGACAACAGGATGTGGAATTTATCGGCTTATGTATATACATTTTAAAGTGTTTTACAATAAGTATTCTCCAGAGCAATAAGACTGCACTTTGAATCTGTCAGAATGTTTATTATATGGTTTGGTGCCGATACAGTAAACATCGCAATTCTTGGAATATTGGTAATACTTCTGAGATGTTAGAAATTTAGCAGTAGACTGTATAGGTATACAAAAATCTTATTGGTACACATGGTTGTGAAATTCTTCTTCTCTTTTAGCAGACTTGTTCATCAACCAATAAACATTCAGGTTTCAAATCCGGTTATTGTTTTGCAAGTATTCAAATTCAGTCAAGCACTCTGACTTAGGCTATTTCTCTACACTTTTTCGAAGACGTAGATAAATTGGTACAAAGCAAATCTATTCTACTTGAAGCATATTTCTTGCTACTGACTTTTTACCTAGAAGTAAGTAATTATTGTTAATAATACTTCCGAAATCAATAGTTATAGTATATAATTGTTGACCAATTACATTGTAGTGGTTTCTCTTTTTTAGCATAAAATGTACTGATTCTGAAATCTACGATACACATCACAGACTATATATATATACATGTAAACTAATACAAGTCATATAATACATATAATATGGTTACACAACAGAGAATACATGATGCAGAATATAATATATATATATGTAGTGTTTTTTCTTCTAGAAATAGAAGCTAAAAAAGAACTTAAAGAAAAGTACCATAAATTGAAAAAGATAAAGGTTCTCAACGATGAGGAGATGCAGTTTTTACTGCATGTATCTTTTTCTTACAACAAAAGTGGCAGTCTTTCGGCGGAATCAGCAGTTGACGAAGCTGATGCTTCGATTGCTATGCCTCTGATGGAATCAGTGTACAAAACAAGATGGCCTCCGATTGAACCAGCTCTTCTTGATTCTGTCTTGTGGAATAGTTGGAAGGTCTTCCTTAGATGAAGATATACAGGAACCACCCAGGCCAGGTACGTCTAGAGAAGCTACACCACCATCACAGAAAAGAGGCAGGGCTATGAAGGGTGGGGAAGGGGTAGAGCTGCAGTGTGTTCTTGGACTGCCCCTTCCCAGCAGGAGAAGCCTCTCGCCTGCAATGATACCTGGATCTGGGAGCAGATCACCAAGGAGGAACAAATAAACATACCTCAATTCAACAGAGGTGAACCTGTGTCCAGACAGGTCACCTCTTTAAATAAAATTATTGACTTTTTTAAACTTTTATTTACTGCAGAAACACTAGATATCATTGTAAATGAAATGAACCAGTTTGCAAACCACAGCAAGAAAGTGGATGATAAAAAAAAAAAAGAAGTAAAATGGACCAATATAACACATTGTGAACTCTTGGCATATTTAGGTTTAACTTTAACAATGAGACTAAAGCCTTCTCTTTCTGACTATTGGTCTAACTATCTTCCTTTCCACAATCCTTGGTTTACTAACATCTTCTCTAAGGACAGTTGTTTAGCTATACACACTTACATTTCAATAATAATGCTAATGCTCTTTCTAGAACTGGCCCTAACTATGATAAACTTTTTAAGGTTACACCTATCATAGACCGTCTACTAAACTCTTTTGTTTCCCACTACTCTCCTAACAGAGAACTAACCATAGACGAACAGATGCTGGGCACAAAATGTAGAATTTACCTAAGAAACCTGTCAAGTGGGGTATGAAGTGGGTCCTGGCAGAAGCTATGAGTGGATGCTGTCTAAAGTTTAAAATCTACACAGGCAAAGAGGGATAAATGCCAGCTAAAGGTTTATCAGACAGTGTTGTGATGGAACTGATGGTCAAATACAACAGACTAGGACACTGGGTTTTCATGGACAACTTTTACACTTCCCCTCATTTATTTGACAAACTACTGACTATGGGAGCCTATACTTGTGACAGACCGTATTTCCCACAGCAACTGGTTTCTACAAACCTACAGAGAGGGGAAGTACATTTTTTTAAATGTGAAATTCTGACAGCTGTGAAGTGGACTGACAAACGAGACATTTATGCACTTTCAACTTTACACTCTAACACTATGACAAGAAGGGGGAGGGATGTCGAGGTTACAAAACCTTAGTTAATTGTGCACTACAACAAATTTATGGGAGGGGTGGACCTGAATGACCAATACTTAAGTTACTATTCTACTGGACGAAGGACAATAAAATGTTATAAAAAACTGTTTTTTTTTTACTTTTGGACTTGACAAATGTAAATGCTTACATTTTGTACAAACAACAGACCAACCAGCCGGCATTATCCCAGAAGGCCTTCAGAATGGACCTGGTCACAGCTCTTATTGAGCCTCTATTTCAAAGCAGACCAGGTCCTTCTGGTATACCACTTTCAAGAACTGTGCAGGACTCATCACCTCCGAGACTCACTCTTGGCAGGCACTTCCCAGCAACTGTTGATAGAAGTCACGGGAAGAGATGCAGACTGTGCTTCCCAGAAAATGTAAACTTTGTAATGCATTTCTCTGTATTAAACATTTTCAAGAGGTAACACTAGTGTGATATCTTCAAAGATGTTAATTCTTTATCCTATGTCTACTCTCTTCCTTGTTTACATAAGAGTATCACACTAGTGTTACTCTTCAAAGATGTTAATTCTTTATCTATGTCTACTCTCTTCCTTGTTTACATAAGAGTATCACACTAGTGTTACTCTTCAAAAATGTTAATTCTTTATCTGTGTCTACTCTCTTCCTTGTTTACATAAGAGTATCACACTACTGTTACTCTTCAAAAATGTTAATTCTTTATCTGTGTCTACTCTCTTCCTTGTTTACATAAGAGTATCACACTACTGTTACTCTTCAAAGATGTTAATTCTTTACCTATGTCTACTCTCTTCCTTGTTTACATAAGAGTATCACACTAGTGTTACTCTTCAAAGATGTTAATTCTTTATCTGTGTCTACTCTCTTCCTTGTTTACATAAGGGTATCACACTACTGTTACTCTTCAAAAATGTTAATTCTTTATCTATGTCTACTCTCTTCCTTGTTACTCTCTTCCTTTGTTCACATTCTTTTCTCTAAATATTTTAATGTTTGTATTTCAAAGTACAACAGTGGTTACTTTTTACATTAAAGTTTTAACTGAAATATTTTGTAAAGTTTTCTTTTGTTTTTCATACAGTAGTGATGCTATCTTTCATCTGTCAACATCAGTTTACAATGTCTAAAATGTTTGTGGTAAACTTGCATTTGTTGATACAGTTTTTCCTGTGCACAACATTAGATATGTTTTTTCCATTGTTGATGATTTCATTCTGGTTGTGCCTTTTATCATGTGTCAACATTGTACACATTTTCTGTTAGAATGGGTATAACTTGATATTGTTTTATGCAATTTCTATGTACATTATTTGTTTTAGATGTGTATATCATTTGTACATAACTTTATTTTGCAGACATTTGTAGAGTATTGTATCTTTCTAAAATGTTATGAATAAACCTTTTTTTTTTAGGCTTTTTAGCTGCTAAGTATGGGGAAATTTTGGCTACCATACATAACATATGTATTCATATATATTGTTATTATTTATTCACAAATGCTCAAATTTTAGTTATTTTCCTTAAAACCCAGAGGAATAAAGAAAATATATTTCAAAAAACAAAGATTTTGAGTGCTTACGGTAGTTATGAGATTTTGTGCTCGAGTGTCGCATGTGCTAAGCCTCGTTTATTTTTCTGAATGGAGGGTGTAGAGTTTTTTTTTTTTTATGCTTCAGATATACATATAGAATAGTAATAAAAATATCAACTTATTATATTAGTGCACACAAAACACCTGTAATTTATTTGGATGTCTAAAGAAGCTTTGTGTGAGTTTTAAAAAATCCTGTTTCTCTTCAGAGCAACAACTTAGTCATCACAACAGTTTGGGTGAAATTACAATTTTCTCCTTCAAGCTATTTACAACAGGCTATAAGACTTGTGTACACAAGTAACTGCTCTTTCTGTTGGTTATAAACTCTTAGAAAAATAAAAGTAGGTGGGACTAGACAAGATGTTTTTGAAAGGCTGGAGTAGTAGGAGGAGCTAAACTACTAGATTGGCTAAATATACTTATAGGCTAAATATACTTGTATCTCAGCAAATCAAAAAGATAGGAGGTTCTTATTTTAAATTATAACTTGTCCATATCTCCAATTTGAGTTTCTTATTCGTTAACTACCACACACACATTGTGTGGTAGGTATAATTAATTATAAACTGAACAATAACACAACAGGAAGTGTTTTATGACATGCAAAAAATAATATTTATAATTTTTTTCTCTATATTTTCTTTTAATTTTAGAAATTAAAATATGTATATCATTAAAATTGAAATATAACCTTCGTTTTGATGTGAATTCCTCTGACATGAGTAATAACAAATTATTTAATAAAATAAAATAAGATAATAAAGTAAGATAACTAGCAAGTTTATTGGGTAGGATACAACTTTGTACAGAGTCATATCATAAATATTTTCTCTCACTATTATAAAGTACTTTAGACAATTATTGTTGCAACCCCTGTATTGTAAAGAAGCCATCAAATTCTATCCCACTGTGTTCTCAGAGCAGCGATCCAAATAGTTTCTGTACGATACTTCCACTTTCGACAAAGTCATAAACATTTTATAATACTTTAGACAGTTGTTGTTGTAAACATTATTCTGTCAACAAGTGATATATCCTATCCCACTGTGTTTTCAAAGCAGGTAAGTTCTGGGAAATACGTGCTGCATGAACCTATTTGATATTGACGGTGTCAAAGTACGGTAAACAGGAACAGTGATTCCTTGCTTTATATTCGGCAGGTTTCTACTTCAGTCACTAACAGTAGAATATCAATAGGAAATAGGTGTAAAAAGATTAGAAAAATCTCTCAGGAGATTTACTTGGAACTTTACTGTCTATATTGAAAAGTACAGAGTACTATTCCTTTTGTATCTTCTAGTTTCTAAGCAACTTGCTAGCAATAAAATAACTACAGAAAATAAGTGTGAAAAGGTGAGAGCGTAAACTCTGACCATAAGTACTTTGAAATTTTGTAATCACTACTAACAATACTATACATTTTATTTTGCACCCTTTATTTTCGTTAAACTTTGATTACTTTCCTACAACCTGGAGAAATAAGTATAATGTTACGGTACAAAAAATAACAAATAAAATATAAAGCTGTACTGAAAATATAAATGTTTGATATTTAATTACAAGGTTTTTATTGTTCATTTGTTTTAATTGTTTATTGTTATAAAAGTAACTAAAATCATAAAAACAGAAAGTTGTTAGGTAAGATAATGAAAGAATAATAATGAAAAACCTTCATATTGTATATGTGCCAGAAGCTTCTGCATTATGCTGTTTGATAAAGTCATGTCGATGCATATGTGCGCTGTGTAATTTTCAACTTCTGTTGGGGTATTTTTAGTCAGATGCGGTTTAAAGGTCAATAAAACAAAAATTAATAAATATAAATAGATTTCTACTGTTAATAGATTTAATCTATTTAGAATAAACATTTGTGGTTCCTATTACAATTTGTTGTTATTCTACAACAAAAAAAAAGGTAATTTAGATTTATTTCCTAATTTTTATGATGGTTACGAGGTCGGTCAAATGGATCAACACCACATAGAGTTAATAATGATAAAATAACAGATTAAATATAAAGTTTTATTTAAAAAAACATTGATTTTAAAATCAAAATTATTTTGTACATTGGATAGTCAATGTTCTGAAAAGAAAAAATCAACGGACACTCAGAATCAATTTATCAAGATTTAAAAAAATACCCACTCCTTCGCACTTACTGCACCATACATGCACAACTTTCACACAGATCAAGTGAGGAAACCAGCAGTCATAAGCAAGACTCCTACATAACCCTCTCCTCTTTTTCCAGATCTTGAAGATGATGTCCACACAGATGAGAATCGAGAAGGTATTGACACACACAGTGTACATTCCACAGAGTCTGACTCGGATATCAATCCAGTTGAAGAAAATCCAGATAGGGAACCAATAGAAACTGTGTATGTTGAAAATGGAAACGAGGAGTTTGGAACTGTAAGCCACGACTTCTAAGATTGTTTGTAGTTCTTAGGTTTTCTATGAACAATTATATCCCATTACTTTATTTTCACTATTTCTTTTTGGCCCAGCATGACCAGGTGGTTAGGATGCTTGACTCGTAATCTGAGGGTCACGGGTTCGAATCACTGTCCCACCAAACATGCTCGCCCTTTCAGCTATGGGGGCATTATAATGTGATAGTCAATCTCACTATTCATTGGTAAAAGAATAGTCCAAGAGTTGGCAGTGGGTGGTGATGACAAACTGCCTTCCCTCTAGTCTTTCACTGCTAAATTAGGGATGGCTAGCGCAGGTAGCCCTCTTGTAGCTTTGCGCAAAATCCAAAACAAATCAAACTGTTTCTTTTCCACTTACATTTTACAATATATTAAGTAAATAAAAAGTTTAATACATCATGTAGTAGAGCTCTAAACTTTCCTTAAACTTGAAATTTCTTGTAGGATCTCGGAAAGTTTTTGTTATTTTATTGGGTTTGAATTTTTAGTCATGTTACATTTACTTAAATTATATCAAATATAAAGTTTAACCAGGGTTACCCTACTTAAGATTAATACAGAATAATGTTTCCATTTAGTTTTTGTTGTTTACTAAAACTTACACACTGCAAGACAAACGTTTAGTGTTACTACACTTGAAAATATCGTAGTTCAAATAATTAACTGGAGAGATGCAGAAAGCTCTTAGGTATGTTATCAAAAGCCGCTAAACCCTAATGTACACTTCAGCAAAGTCTATAAACTTTTATATACTTGAACTCTTGGTGGTAAATATTAAACTAGAAAATTAGTATGATGCCAGGCTTAGAAATCATTCAGTGTTCTGCTTTTATCTTTAATTGAAAATATCCCAATCATAATATAAATATCAAACTTTCAGAAAACTAAGTGGATTTGATGTTCTCTATTACTGGTATAACAGTTAAATCATCAATATGAAGCACTCATGTTTGACATTCTTGAAGACTATTACATTTATCTTTTCAGTACAGCATTTTATCTCTTTTTAAAATTGAAGCAGAATTACAGGTTG